CGCCCACTAGTGACCATCTCATTAGCATAAACAGCCCTGAATGAGAAGCAGCCGTCTGTCCACGAGAGTTTTATCTGCCATTATGCTGACACAAAGGCATTTGTAGCTCCGCCCTCTTCTGAAAAGAGCACAATCTCATTTGCATTTAAAGCAATAATTAACTGGTTTCACTATTAACCACGCTTTAATTCGTCACTGGTAATTAATCATGAAGGCTTCTCAACACCGTGTTTCTGCACAGATCAAAACTGCGGCAACTAAACAAAGTTATGCCAACTGTGTGCTAGTTTAAAGTTTCGAGCTTGTACATCAAGACTAATAATCACACACTGCATTAACTTTGACTGAGGCCTAGGCACTCGAACCAACGACCTTCTTGCTGTGTGGCCACAGTGCTAACCACTGAGCCACCGTGTCGCCAGGGTTAATCCAACTTAATGTTAAAGTAGTCATGTTTAACATCAGAATTCATGTAGAAAAAACTACATTACCCACAATGCTGTGCAGAAAATGCCATTAGAGTCTTCAGCTGCAGTCCAGTCCATTTTTATGCCCTTCTCTTGCTAATATTCCTCTCGTTCCCTTGGATGTACGTCATTTATTATGTCATTCAAGTGTCTACTACTGGTGGAGCATCTAAATGGGTTTAAATGCAAGCCCTAAACCTTGAGTATTTGGGAACTTTACTGTTGTGACATCACAATTGCATTGCATTCTGGGACATATAGCTCACAATCAAGGGAGTTTCTTTGTTTTAGTGTCACTCGCTGGACGTTTAATTTGGACTACGCTACAAAACGTGAATTGCAAAACAAATGCAATGTAATTTCTTTGGAAAAATGTCACACCATGCATACATTTTTCCTCTCCATCCTCCTGACAAGTGCATCAGTCAGCTGCGCGTGTGTGTTTCTACCTCAACACTAATAACTGGACTTCTGAAATCCCTCCTGGAGTCACTGTGAAGCCGGACTGCTCTGCTGGAGGTCAGAGAAGGCATTAACAGATGCTCTCGGTTGTTGAGAGACAGGCTGGTTTCCCTGCGCACCTCTGGGACTTTTACACCTTCAGCATGAGAGTTTACAGATGGCACACATCATCAGCCGTTTGAGCTCCAGTCCTCCAGTGGGAGCTAGAGAGAGCAGAACTACTTCAGCTCTTTTTTCTCTCTCTCTCACACATTTAGCACAGCCACTTCAAGAGGCATCTAATATTTATACAGGTCACAGGCAAAAAGGGGGTTTCCAAGCATCTAAACATTAAAAATGCAATGGTTTTAGGAATGTGTGCTGCTTATTTTGACTCTAAATCGTCATTGAGAGCAACACTAGTTTATAAAAGTGTGTATATAGTATATTTAGGTTAAGAGTTATTTGATGACATATTAAAAGACTCATTTTAAGCATCACATTGTGGCACCGAAACATTAAATTAATAGTCATTTAAAATATTTATGGTTCGCCACTATAAAAGCACTTCAAACCACTAGATTTGACCCATTTGACAGCAATATATTTTTAACTATTCAAAATAAATCTCACATTTCTCTGAGAATCTTAAAACCTGAGAATCTTGTATATTGTGCATCATTTATTTATAATTTCTCTTCACCCCTAAATGAAGAATGAAGTCTTCTCAATAGAAACCCTGTGTCATAATAACTTATTAAAACAGTGACTTCATGCGTGTTATTTGTTCTGGCGCAGTATCGATGATCTCATCGGTTCAGGGGAATGTTATTGTCTTGAACTCTGCTGTGTTGCATCAGTTTTTCTGCAGGAAAAACACGTTCGCTCATTTGTGGTCAATAATTTGAGGACTTGCGGTGTGTTTTCACTCCACGCCCAGCGCTCTGTCCAGTCCAGACACACACATACAGCTCATCCAGTGACTCAAACACAAACACATGACTGCACACTTATGGACACAGTCATAATACAGCCGTAAATGGGGATTTTTAACCAACTGCAGAAGAAAGACAGAAAGAAAATGCCACTGAATGATTCATGAGGTTAAAAAAGCTCAATTGTTAAAACACTAGAGTAAACCTTTTCTAAAACGGGTCTATGTGCTTCTGCATTAAAGAGGATCTATTATGCAAAACGCACTTTTTTAAGGGGTTTAAACACAGTTGTGTGTCAGCAGTGTGTGAATATATTCAGCTTCTGGTAGTAAAAATGTACTAGGTTCATCTCTAAACAGCAGGTGGCAGAATTCTACACCTAACACCTAGATCCATATCCAGAAATACACCATTAACCTATAGCTGAGAAGTAAAATAAAAAAAGATCATGCAGAAAGATTTTAAACGTTTATATTTATAATTATCGGCCAATATATCGGATATCGGCCTCAGGATCTGTAGTTATCGGTTATCGGTATTGCTAAAAAATAAATTAAATTAATGCATGCCTACTTTTTTTGAAACTTAATTCTTTTATGAGTGATCTAAAATGTCTTCAGAGGTTTTAAATGTCTTTTTATTCGCTTTATTAGCTTTGTGCATTAATTAAAATCCACACAGTTTTATTTTATTCAGTAGTTGTTGTTAGTTTAAGAAATTGGGTATGTTTATTGATTAAAAGATTACCACAATGGACTACTAAAGGACAAGCAGGTGGCTACATCCAGAAGAAAGAATGGCTCTCTATGGCCCTTTGTAGGACAATACATTTTCTTTTGTAAACTATAATACTTTTAGGTTCATCACTATCCAGCAGGTGGCAGAATTCTACACCTAACACCTAGATCCATATGCAAAAACACAACAATAACCTATAGCTGAGAAGTAGGAAAAAAAATATATATATATCGGCCAATATATCGGATATCGGCTCAGGATCTGTAGTTATCGGTTATCTGTATTAGTAAAAAATAAATAAAATCGGGGCATCCCTGCTATTTTTGATAATCAGGCTTGATTAACAGTCTGCAGAAACACTATGATTGACATTTTCCCTTTGTACATGTCATCAGAAGGGGAAAGCCCCACCCACTAGTGACCATCTCATTAGCATAAACAGCCCTGAATGAGAAGCAGCCGTCTGTCCATGAGAGTTTTATCTGCCATTATGCTGACACAAAGGCATTTGTAGCTCCGCCCTCTTCTGAAAAGAGCACAATCTCATTTGCATTTAAAGCGACAGTCACCTAAGCGGATCAAAAATCAGGATTAAAGCCTAAAAGGGTCAGTTTCAGAGAGTTATAAAACATTATTTGTGTGGTATTCTGAGCTGAAACTTCACTACACACTCTTGGTACATCAGAGACGTGTTTTACATCTTGTTAAAGGGGTATAATAGGTCACCTTGAATGCATTTGGTGGATTATTTTATTCAGAATGACCTGTATTGCATTCAAGCACACATTTAATCAGTTTTTGCTTGCTCTGAATGTCGAACGCATTGCTTTGCTGCTTCATTAGTGCCACGCTTTGCTGTTTAATCTACAGGTACTAAATTGTAGTACTCTTTCCAAATATTTTGTCTACACTGTGAACATGCATACCAGGGTAAAGTTAGGAATTCATGTAATGTTGTTGAGAAGCGTCTTCCGCTGCACCAAGGCTTCATTTATTTATTACAATACAGTAAAAATGACAATACTGTAAAATATGTGTGCAATTAAACATAGCTGTTTTCCATGTGAATATATCGTAACGTAATTTATTCGAGTGATTCAAAGGCTGAATATTTTTTATCATATTCATACTTTTCTATTGATAACATTTATTAAAGTGAAGACTTTCCTCAAAAATAATTATGCCATGCCTTTTTTTAGTATATGAAGTATAACACTCATTGTTAGTTTTGATAACCTACTGAGAACGTTAGGGAGATGTTCCTAGAACATTAATATAATGTCTATGGAATGTTCTAATAACACTTTAAATAACATTCTGTAACATGAGACATGAGATATTAATGAAAATGATTGAAAACATTTTGAATAATCTTCTTATAACCAAACTATTATGTTATATACACATCGTCTAAACAAATCAATGTTTCGAGCATTTAAAGAAAGCTCGAGTAAGTAACAGTGCATAACGGGAACGTTAAAGAAACGTTTTTAGACCCCATAGACCCCATAAAGTGGATATTTTGATGCAAATAAAGAAGTTTGTGTTGTGATCGCCAGCAGTGCCAAACTACAATCCCCAGAAGTCATTGCACTTATCACTCCTGCCACAGCTGAAACTCATTATGGACTGATTACATGACTACTTTAGGCCCAATCACAACACTATTTTTTTTAAGGGCTTCAAAATTTACTCTTAAGAAAGGGGACACCACTACAGCACCTGTACACGTCATCATATGTCATTGTGAGCTCTTGCTTTATATAAGATCAGACGATCGCGACCTCATGCTACTGTTAGTGGTGGGGAAAGCGAGGCTTCAGGAAACACTGAAAGCTTCGAAACGTTTTGAAACCCGTCTCTTAAGTGACACCTAGTGGTTATTTTTATGTATTGCTCTGGAACGTCTTCAGCAAAGAAACGGTTACGCAAATTGGGGTATTAAACCCCACGCTGTACAGTTGAAGCATCAAGTGATTTAGTGAAGCGGTGGGAGTTCCAGATTAGCATGTAGAGATGATGGGTTCGAATCCAGGGTGATGCAGCTATATACAGTATATTAAACCCGGGCCATTTGCAGCACTAAAACTTAGTGCACACGCACCACAAGGCTACATGAGATATAGTTTTTCTATCTGACCCTGTAAGTCAAACACAGATTCGCCAGATCTCGAAACGCTTCTGAAATTGCCGATGCTTTGAATTGCTTTAGTCACGTGACCTGGTGTTTAAAGGCATTTTAGTCATGTGACCTGTGTATTTCGGATCATGCATCGTGCAGTGTTTTGACTCAATTGTGCTTCGGGATCTCGACACTTTACATTTGTTTGCACCTGTTTGACCGTTGCCTGTCTGACACTTCTTTGCTAATAAACTGCACGTGGATCCTCACTTCTGTTTTCCCCTTTCTCTCTCCCAGGTCCTCATAACCGTGTGTCTCGATGTCCTCCTAATGAACATCAGTGTCTGGGTTCAGACTTGTGTATTCACATGAGCAAACTGTGTAACGGCGTCCCGGACTGCACTGATGGAGGAGACGAGGGCCCGCACTGCAGAGGTACACACTGGCCACCACCACAATTTCAGATTACACCATCGTTATAAATACTGCGCTATAAAAAATATCTGTTACTCAACAGTTTTCTTAATTTGTGATATTTATATGTTTATTTGTCGTTGTGAGTTGCATTATGGGATGTTGAACTCTGCTCCGTCCCCTTTTGATGTCGAAAATTCAACTCCACATTTTAACTAAGTGACTTTTATTGACATTTTAGTCATTTGAAATAATATAATGTATAAGAAATGATATCTAGAGAAATGAGTGCAGAAAATGCACTGGTGGCTCATTACAAGGCTTTTGTAGTGTAATATACAACACCAACCCAGACAATATAGCACTGCGCACTATTATAAATGATAATAAAAGTCACTTTTTCAAATTTTGCCAAGTGAAAAGTTGCTGGAAGAGCGATCAAAGTATCATAAAGCAATAAAAAAAGCAGAAATAAATGGGGAAAAATAAAAACATGAATCACAAAATACGGAAAACTGCTCATTTATGGTTCAAGAGTTCGCCCTTAGCTGATGATTGATTGTGGAGCGTGTTTGGCATGCTGTCCCGGGAGAGAGCCCTGAACTTGTGAGATCCTCGAGCCTGGAGCTCCCCCCCATTGCGGGTCCAGAGGGAAGTCCGAGTTCAGGTAGGTCTCGAGAGCTCCCATGTCAGTTTAGATTTGTCAGTTTACTTATGTTACATGTTTTTGATCTGTGGGAGGAAACCGGAGAGCCAGGTGACAACCCATGCAAACATGAGGAGAACATGCAAACTCCGCACAGAAATGCCGACCTGGCCAGGTAGTGTCCGAGCCGGTGACATTCTTGCTGTGCGGCCGTGGTGCTAACCACTAGGCCTCCGTGCTGCCCTGACAAGGAAATGGGAGGAGTAGGGGTGGAAGGGGGGATTCTTCAAGACGAAGATGGCTGAATTAAGATACTCTGGTTATTTATAGTGGTTAAGGAATCATCTGATTGTAAATCAGTGTTAGCTAATGTGGACCAGGTGCTATCAATCATTAGCATGTGCTTCTCTCAAAATTTGTTTATAAATAAACTTCACAGAGTTTTACAGAGTAGTGATGCAAATCTTTTTTTTTTTTTTTGGTTGAAATTAACAGATACTAACTCCTGAATCTCTTATTATTTAAGCATGGTATTTTTTATTCTGTGTTCTAGTAAAATTGTTTTACATACAGACATCAGCATTTTCAAAATGATTTACATTTTCATGGCTAAAAATGCAGTATTGCCAATGTCCGGCCAGTAGTTTGCACAAGGAGACGGTTCCTAAAAGTGAGCAAAACTACATAACATAAAGGAGTTTTTAGGTTTTCAGAGAATATCTTAAATATACTTTTTGATGTTGTTTGGCCATGGCAGATTATTCACACGTTTTTCATCTGAGAGTTTATTTAGTTTTCAAAGTCGCATTATTTATTTACTAACTATTGTTTAAGACTTGCACTTAAAGGGGTAGTTCACCCAAAATCAAAAATTCATTCATCCACTTATTTTCCTTCGGCTTAGTCTCTTTTTTCATCAGGGGTCTCGCCACTGCAGAATAAACCAACAACTTATCCAGCATATGTTATGCACAGCGTATGCCTTTCCAGCTGCAACCCAGTACTGGGAAACACCCAATCACACTCAGTTACATACACTATGGTCAATTTAGTTGATCAATTCCCCTATAGCGCATGTGTTTGGACTGTGGGAGAAACCAAAGCACCCACACCAACATTGTGAGAACATGCAAACTCCACACAGAAACGCCAACTGACCCAGCTGGGACTCAAACCAGCGACCTTCTTGCTGTGAAGCCACAGTGCTAACCGCTGAGCCATCGTACCTCCGACCCTATAAAAGTAAATATCACTTAATATCAAAATATGGCTATGTTAAATGTGTTGCAGACTGTTACCTGGTTTCAGCTTGCTTCCTGATAAACACAATCCACACTTCAGTTGATGTGATTAACTGTATGCTTTTAGATCCCCCCTGTATTGAGGAAAAATGGAGGACTTTGATCTGCCAGATGTGAGGCTTTTATACTGACAACTCTCATTATGTTTTTGCATAATGATGCTTTTAAAACGTAATGGCCAAAGGTATCTTTATAACATTTCACAGTTTCGTTGAAGATGACATGCTTTTTTAGATCAGGCTCATGATATAATATCCAGACCCCTCTAAGTATCTGTCAGTGTTTTGTAGATTTTAAAGGCTTTTATTCAGTGTTGTATAGTGCAGTATTAACTGTCTGCGTAAATGGATCTGCACTTTAAGTTTTTTTCTCTAGAACTAAACACACACAGTGAGGATGTTTCCCAGTATTGGGTTGCAGCTGGAAGGACATCCACTGTGTAAAACATATGCTGGATAAGTTGGCAGTTCATTACGCTGTGGCGACTCCTGATGAATAAAGGGACTAAGCCGAAGGAAAATGAATGAACAAACACACACACACACACCCCTAAAGTATGTTCTTTATTAGCTACACTTGTTTAATATCTTATTATTGGTAATTTAATCAGCCAATTACTATGACAACAACTCTACATTTAAGAGCGTGCAGACATTAGCGATGTACATTTTAGAACTAAGGTCAATACATGAAGCAGCTTCCAATACTATACGATACACTACTGTACTATACGATACTATACCTTACAATATCATATCGTATCATATCATATTGTATCGTATCATATCATATTGTATCGCATCGTATCATTTCGTATTGTATCGTATCGTATCGTATCATATCATATATCATATCATATCATATGAGACAATACGATATGATAGATGATGTATGACATGACATGATACGATATGATAATACGATATGATACAATGAAATACGATACGATAAAATGCGATATGTGATCATGATACATGATACGATCTGATATGCTATGATATGATATATGATATGATACGATGTGATACAATACAATATGATACAATAAAATACAATACGTACAGTAAGTGATCGTGATATATGTTATTATATGATATATTATGGATTGTTTGCCCTCTTGAATGGGCGCAAATTTTTTTTTTCCTTTTCAAATATTTCCCAAATGATGTTGAACATATTCAGGAATTTTTAACTTTATTTCCTGTAATATGATTTTTCCTGGAGAAAGTCTTATTTGTTTCATTTCGGCTACAATAAAATGTTCCCTAACTTCAACCTAGTGAAGCCTTTAAATGTCACTTTAAGCTGAATACTAGTATCTTGAATAATATCTAGTCAAATATTATGTACTGTCATCATGGCAAAGATAAAAAGATATATAAATTAATTATTTAAACTATTAAAAATGTGTTGAAAAAATTTTCTCTGATGAACTGCTCTGAGCCGATGCAAATATTTTCACATTTATGGCCACAAATATGGCCGCCAAGTGAACAGACTTTCTTTGAAACGTGACTTTGGTCCACGTGAGATGGAATTAATAAAGCAATATGTTAGTGTGAAACTCAGCTATGCAGTTTATTGATAAATGAAAAGGATTCCTTTAACAACAATACACAAATCTGTGTGTTTTCACTTACTGCGCAGTATTTATCTCCCTGAAATTACACTGAAGTAAATATCATTACTGGGGAAATACGCGAACCTCCAGGATTATCTTTTGATTTCAAAATCATAATGGGATTCAGGTGTTTGGTTTATTTGAGTGGAATAAATCTGCTGCGAGTTTAGCAGCTCTACCCTAAAGAAAGAACATACAATTGGATCCTCTAAATCAAAATCTGGGCCTCATCAGATCTGCTTGTGGAAACGTGCCATGCCTCAGTCAAGTTCAGATGAGGATCTGTTAATGCTCACAAAGGCCGGGACGAGTTAGAAAGGTATTTGCAGAGTTTAGTGATTCGACATCGCTAATCCTCTACCAAAACAGAAACAATGCAGCAGAAATAAATCCATAAGAAAGTCATACAATTATTGCAGGAGATCATCAAGAACTTAAGGATCTTCAGGCCTTTCTGCATTGGCTCAGACTTGTGTTCATGAGACTTTAAAAGAAACCCTTACTATACCATACGAAATGTGATATATGAAATTATATTGTATAGATTTATATGATGCAATATGATATGATATGATACATTATGATACGATACGATACGATAAAATGCAATATGTGATCATGATATATAATATGACATGATCTGTGATACGATAAAATACAATATGATACAATACAATACAATATGATACGACACAATACAATATGATACGATAAAATACGATATGTGATCATGATATATGATATGATTTATGATACGATAAAATACAATATGATACAATACAATACAATATGATACGATACAATACAATATGATACAATACAATACAATATGATACAATACAATACAAGGTTTTTTTTTTCACTCCCATCAGGTGAAGTTTTTTTTCCCTCTCCGCTGTCGCCACTGGCTTGCATGGTTCAGGATTGGTAGAGCTACGCATCGATGAATTTGCTCTTCAGTGTTTGAACTCTCAGTAATGATTAAATCACACTGAACTGAGCTAAACTGAACTGAACTGAACTTAAACACTAAAAAACTGAACTACACTGTTCCAGTTACTATGACCATTTATGTGAAGCTGCTTTGACATAATCTACATTGTAAAAGCGCTATACAAATAAAGCTGAATTGAATTGAATTGAATAGGATACGATACAATACAATATGATACGATAAAATATGATATGTGATCATGATATATGATATGATTTATGATACGAAAAAATACAATATGATACAATACAATACAATATGATACTATACAATACAATATGATACGATACGATACAATATGATACAATACAATGCAATATGATACGATACGATACAATACAATATGATACGATAAAATATGATATGTGATCATGATATATAATATGATTTATGATACGATAAAATACTATATGATACAATACAATACAGAATGATACGATAAAATACCATATGTGATCA